TAATACCTTGATTTTTACAACCTTGATGACATTGTTAAATAAAATTAATGTCCATACATTAAAACTCAACAACATATTATCCACAGAAAAAGTTACGTAATAACTAATAAGTATCGAACAAAAGTTTAATAAGCCAACTAAAACAAAATAATATTGTTATTTTATAATTTTATTTCTTTGATTTATAATATGATAGACGTTACGACTAAACACTCCTAGTTTAGCGTTTAGTGTCTAATCCAATTATTAGAAAGATTGTTACCAAAACACGTTTTTCTTTAAGTTTGAAAAACACGCTAGTCATCCGTCAACTTCAATATACGTGGCATAATTATTTCTATATTAATCATATAGGTAAGATAAGTATTGCTTTGATGTCAATACTCAATAGTACTAAAGTAAACTGTCATTAGAAATAATCATATACCAAGTACATCTGAGTGGTTATCCTCAATTTGGTTTGGTAGAAAAACTTTATTCATGTCCAAATGGCTTCCGAGAACTTTTAACTATTATTATATTTGAATTGAATTTCCAAAATTACCACTATAGTTGCACAATTAGACAGCTTATTGAGATTTCTACATACGGTGCTTCTAAGGGTGGTTTAATGACTTGTTTATGTAATGAAATTTTATATTTTATAAAAATGTTCAACAAAATAAAATTCTTAATTTAAAAAACAATGATTCAATGTTTTTTTTGAAACTTTACAAATTTATACATATATAAATGGTTGTTTATAGTTTTGTATTGTGTTAGATATGATTAAGCCAGACACACTCCCTTATCAAATCAAATTATTAGTAGATATTATTTGATGTGTATTTGTAGAGTTTATCCATTCCCAAGCTATATGGAATTTGTTAGGAAGTAAAACGAATAACTAGCAAAATTATATGTGCACAAGACACAATATTTGTGTGGTTCGGTTAAGGTGACCTACGTCCACTAGTAGGATGTGAGTATTCTCTATTTTAGAACTCTCAAATAGAGTTTATAAGTATAACTTTCACAAAGATTCGCCTAACAATCTAGAATTCAAGGTACCAAATGACCTAGCATGGATCCCTATTTATATTTGAGGGGATCAGACCTAAAACCCTAATGGGTTAATCCTATTGGCTCATAGGCTTGTGAATGGTGATAACCAATCATATTCCACCATGCAACATCTTCTAGAACATTCTTCCATGTCATACAACATATGAGTATCAGCAACACACATGGTGGACCACCTTGACCATAGATGAGCAACATGATGCACAGGTGGAGCATCATGATCACTAATGGTCCAACATCCATCATGATGGCACAATAGGGTGTATTTTTTTAGCATGATCATCTTCTAAGAAAACGTGGATCAATATGGCACAACAAAGAAATCAAGATGGTGCATCATGTATGTGACATCCCTATTTTCACGGCCAGAAAAGACCGATTTGTTTATGCTTAATAAAAATCAAAGTACCTCTTTTAATAAAAATGTTGCAATTTGTTCCCAGTAAAACATGATAAATACATTATCAAAGCACTTACGAAGAAAAGTATTTTTATTCATTTTAAAACATTTGGGGTATCATCGTTAATACAGAAACATAAGCATAAACAGAACTTATATTCATTATCACTAGTGATTTATATCTTCTTAATCTCTCAGTGTAATGTGACTTCATATCAACACCAATGATATAAATAAACTGAGTGGGTCAGGTTGGGAGACCTGCTGAGTACATAGGGATTTCAATCCCACAATGTTATACCATATATATATATATATATATATATATATATATATATATATATATATATATATATATATATATATATATAGATTAAAACTCACAAAAATACAATTTCAACATATATATATATATATATATATATATATATATATATATATATATATATAAACAACTCTTATCCCACTCCGTCGATCCTCACAACGAGACTATCCATACTCTCGGACCTAAGATTAGCCATTTTACCTAATCCATACTCCCGGATCAGAAATGAACGAATTTACCTAATCCATACTCTCGGACTAGGGACGAATGACTAATCCATACTCTCGGATTAATGATGAATGATTATGCCTAATCCATACTCTCGGACTAAGGACAATGACTATGTCTAATCCATGCTCTCGGATCAATGACATTTACTAAGGTTTTATTCTCTGAGTATAGTTCACTCGTACTCGTAAGACAACACTACCCAATATTCCTCATAATTAATTTACGTTTACTCTTTAACCTAAATCAACATATATAATCAGGTATGTTCTTTAACAAGTATCTCAGTCAACATCAAATAATTCGCACATAAACATATATTCAATACTTCAATCGATACTTGTATTAAAATCATGTTCATGAAAGGGACTATGCACTCACTTGAAAGGTGGTGGCTTAGCACTCGGACAGCGCTTTGATACTCTCAAAATAATTTTCCTTCGATAAAACCTAGTATCAATACCACTAGGGTTTAGTCTAACGATACTGCGACAAATTAATAGTCTGACTATTATTATTATGATATAAACGATAATAACACTCAATATAACTCATAATAATAGCCCAAATAATTATTTTAAGGACCTAATAACATTCCTATAACTATTTGAAAACTATATTAAAAATTGCGTAAGCGTAGCTCACTTACACTGAATTTTAAAGAAAACTGGGCTTTATTTGGAGCAACTTTTCGAAACTAAAAGACCCTTTTTCTCGGACTCCGAGAGCTTCGGGGCTTCCTTAGGGTGCTAGGGGTTTTTCCTAGGGTTTAGGGGAGTTAAAATCCCTAGAGAGAGAAAGATTTAAGAGAGATAATGAGAAATGGTGTGAAAAATCCGGAGACTCTCGCATCTATTAATAGCATCAGCAGCCTCGGTTATGCTGGGCGTAGTCCTCGGCTACGCAGGGCATAGTCATCGGATATGGATGCCAGCTCGCAGCCAGCTGTCTCGCACATTGGTCGGATAGGAAGCGAAGGTATGCTAGGCGTACTAATCTCGGACGTAGGGAGTAATGCGAGGCTATGTGTCATCATCTGAAGCGAGCACCGTGGTCAGCAAGCGACGGCTGAGATTTGGCCACGTCACCACTCTCCTACAGATTTCGCAATTTCCACTCCCAACTTCTAAAAATCATAACTTTTGCATACGAGTTCTGTTTTTGACGTTCTTTATATCCACACTTAGGTGGGAACGTACTCTACAACTTTTGTTTAGAATCCATCGGCTAATTTTTGCTCTATTTTAAAAGTTATATTATTAACAGGCAGGGACATGATTGGTCCGTTAAATTCTCATAACTTCTTCATCCGATGTCTGTTTTTGCCCATCTTTTCTCGTTATGCTACTCTTAACGAGATCTTCGATTCTCGTTCATGTCGTGTTGGCTAAAAACCGTTCGATCTAACATTCGAATTTCGGGTTATACACTGCTAATCCGAAACTTCGAAAAATCATAACTTCGTCATACGAAGTCAGATTTGGGCATTCTTTTTATCGACGTTCTTAGTTTAACATATTCTATGACTTTTGTTTAGATTTCTAAGGCTAAATCTTGCTGTATCGTAAATTCACTATTTACGCTTCCCGACATCGTGCCGGTTCCGTCGCGAAACTTCAACGGGTCATAACTTCTTCGTTATAACTCGGATTTCGGCATTCTTTATATGTACGGAAACCTTGTGACATATTCTACAACTTGGTTAAGATTATTTATTCTAAATAATATTTTGTTGAAAATTCTTTTTCGACCCCTATTGCCTCTAAATTGACTAGCCCGGATCTACGGGCGTTATAATTATCTCCCCCTTAGGATGATTACGTCCCGGAATCATCAACGAAACAGGGCTTGTATAATGACTCCATACATCATCTCTTCATCCTAGGTAATAATTATGACTCCATACTCGATCATGCACCTGCTCTCTACCTCAGGTTAGACTCCAAATTATGACCTATCATCATGTGATGCACGTTTAGACTCAGGTCTCTTAGAGTTAAATTCTAAAACAGACTATGCCTTCCTTCATGTTCTAGCTACCAATGAGCGCAATACTTCTATTAATTGCTTTGATTTTAATTGTTTGGTTTAAGTCGGATGCTACATCAAACTTGGTTCTCTGAACCACGTAACCTACTCATCATGGTCGGACTAAATGTGATATGACCACTAGGTTCGGGATAACAATAATTTTCTTAGTCATTACCGAAACAATGGTAACAACATGCTTGAATAAAACGAAATCAATTACTAGTTTCTTGGTAACCTTGTGACCTTCCCTAATCCAAGTGTGAGTCTTGTGCTTCCAGTATTATACGCCTCTACTACCTTTCATACCTACTCATACTCGTCCCAAGTATTGTCCCACAGTTTTCCAAGTCACCATACATGAAATTCACCTAAGAACTTAACACATCAAATCTCAAAACGAAGGTTTTTATATTAGGGCTAATGTCACTGTAGCACATGGAACTTTTAACATTTGGCTAATTTGGTCCTTAAAGTTTTTTTTGGTACATTAGACCATTAAACTCGTAATTGCCCTTTTAATTACACCATTTTAGAAGGTTTCCCGGTTGCAATGCTTATGTGGCACGCTGATGTGTCCAATAAGCTTACGTGGTCCAGTTGTCGATACAGGCTTATTAATTGAAACCCTCATTCAGCCCTCCTTTCAATCTTTACTTACCCTTCTCTGAAAAGTCAAAGACTTCTCCCTCCCCGACTATTTCCATCCTGAAGAAGAATGTCTTCGAGCTCATCGACGTCAAGGAATCAGCTACAAGTCACTCATGTTCAGTCGCAAGAAGGGGTAAAGGTTTGTGATTGTGGCGTTCCAGCTAAAGAACGAACCTGTTGGAAGATAACAAACCCTGGGAGGTGATTCTGGAATTGTCAAAACAGTATGGTAGGTCCTCATTCTCTTGATTTTGATAAGTTAGTATTTTATGGTTTGATGTGTTGTTTCTTTCTGTAAAGACGATAATGGTGTATTTCTATTTTGTTTCATCTGTTAAAAACCCTAATTGTATTTGCTTCTTGACGATCACTGTGAATAAAACCCATTCGCTGGTACATTAAAGGTAGTTGATTTGTGATTATCAATCAAACCCTAATTTTATTGGCTTTTTATAGACTAGGTTGAGGAAATGTAGCTTCTTTGAATGGAAAGATGACGAACAGACAGACGGGTACTACAAAAACCTGTTATACTCTCTGAAGCATAAACTAGATGCCAAAGATGAACTGTCTGAGATGAACAAATTGAGGAGAAGGATTGCTGAAGTGGAGTTTCTGCTGTCACAGGAGCAGTATAAGGTGGCAAAGAGTGAGAAAGAAGTTCATGATGGAAGGAAGGCAATAGGCAGGTACAGGATGATAGTTTCCCTGTTGTTTGCTTGATTGGCCCTATATGTTTTGAAGTTAGGGGGGTCAATGTAGTTAGTTTGGTTGGTTAGTGTAAGCTTTTGTTTTTTTAGGATCCCTTGTATTTTTTGTAAAGAAAGTCAGTTCCATAAGGGCATTTTGTATGTATTGAAGCTGGTTTTAGTTATAATTTGGGGTTATCAACCTTAATGTGTTGATGTTGTAAGGTGGTAAGTCCCTAATGAAAGGGCATATGATAAGTTTGATATGGGCATATTTAGTTGTAAAATTCATGCATTATCTTAATACTTTATGTTGATTTTATCTCATTTAATGAACAAAAGGTGCTTAATTAGTTTAAAATTTCATTTTTCAGCAATAATGACATGCCCGGAAGGAAAAGGAAACGGAACTAGCGATTGGAAGCTTGGATGTTGGATTTTGAAGAAAGAAGGATGTTGCTGGACAACTTGACCCCTCGTCAGTGTTTTGGCCATATCTCATGAACCGTAACTCCGATTGACAAGATTCAAAATGTTCTGAAAAGTAGACACAATTTCGGACGACTTTCTTGTTTTGAGAAAATGATGATTCGAAATGTACTCGGCGAGTAGGGTCGATTACTCGGCGAGTTGTATCGAACTTTCGCGATTCTGGACGCGCTGACTTGCCGTACACGGGTTTTAAGTGACGGACTCGCCGAGTAGGTCACTGGACTCGCCGAGTAGCCTCTGTTTTGTGAAAATCTATATAAAGGGACTTTTAGATCGATATCATAGCATGGAGAGAAACCCTAGGAGGCTGAGAAACGATTGGAAGTGCTGCTAGGTCGTGAGGAACTGAAGGATCAACCCTACATTCAAATGACTTGTTTATGTAATGAAATTTTATATTTTATAAAAATGTTCAACAAAATAAAATTCTTAATTTAAAAAACAATGATTCAATGTTTTTTTTGAAACTTTACAAATTTATACATATATAAATGGTTGTTTATAGTTTTGTATTGTGTTAGATATGATAAGCCAGACACACTCCCTTATCAAATCAAATTATTAGTAGATATTATTTGATGTGTATTTGTAGAGTTTATCCATTCCCAAGCTATATGGAATTTGTTAGGAAGTAAAACGAATAACTAGCAAAATTATATGTGCACAAGACACAATATTTGTGTGGTTCGGTTAAGGTGACCTACGTCCACTAGTAGGATGTGAGTATTCTCTATTTTAGAACTCTCAAATAGAGTTTATAAGTATAACTTTCACAAAGATTCGCCTAACAATCTAGAATTCAAGGTACCAAATGACCTAGCATGGATCCCTATTTATATTTGAGGGGATCAGACCTAAAACCCTAATGGGTTAATCCTATTGGCTCATAGGCTTGTGAATGGTGATAACCAATCATATTCCACCATGCAACATCTTCTAGAACATTCTTCCATGTCATACAACATATGAGTATCAGCAACACACATGGTGGACCACCTTGACCATAGATGAGCAACATGATGCACAGGTGGAGCATCATGATCACTAATGGTCCAACATCCATCATGATGGCACAATAGGGTGTATTTTTTTAGCATGATCATCTTCTAAGAAAACGTGGATCAATATGGCACAACAAAGAAATCAAGATGGTGCATCATGTATGTGACATCCCTATTTTCACGGCCAGAAAAGACCGATTTGTTTATGCTTAATAAAAATCAAAGTACCTCTTTTAATAAAAATGTTGCAATTTGTTCCCAGTAAAACATGATAAATACATTATCAAAGCACTTACGAAGAAAAGTATTTTTATTCATTTTAAAACATTTGGGGTATCATCGTTAATACAGAAACATAAGCATAAACAGAACTTATATTCATTATCACTAGTGATTTATATCTTCTTAATCTCTCAGTGTAATGTGACTTCATATCAACACCAATGATATAAATAAACTGAGTGGGTCAGGTTGGGAGACCTGCTGAGTACATAGGGATTTCAATCCCACAATGTTATACCATATATATATATATATATATATATATATATATATATATATATATATATATATATATATATATATATATAGATTAAAACTCACAAAAATACAATTTCAACATATATATATATATATATATATATATATATATATATATATATATATATATATATATATAACAACTCTTATCCCACTCCGTCGATCCTCACAACGAGACTATCCATACTCTCGGACCTAAGATTAGCCATTTTACCTAATCCATACTCCCGGATCAGAAATGAACGAATTTACCTAATCCATACTCTTGGACTAGGGACGAATGACTAATCCATACTCTCGGATTAATGATGAATGATTATGCCTAATCCATACTCTCGGACTAAGGACAATGACTATGTCTAATCCATGCTCTCGGATCAATGACATTTACTAAGGTTTTATTCTCTGAGTATAGTTCACTCGTACTCGTAAGACAACACTACCCAATATTCCTCATAATTAATTTACGTTTACTCTTTAACCTAAATCAACATATATAATCAGGTATGTTCTTTAACAAGTATCTCAGTCAACATCAAATAATTCGCACATAAACATATATTCAATACTTCAATCGATACTTGTATTAAAATCATGTTCATGAAAGGGACTATGCACTCACTTGAAAGGTGGTGGCTTAGCACTCGGACAGCGCTTTGATACTCTCAAAATAATTTTCCTTCGATAAAACCTAGTATCAATACCACTAGGGTTTAGTCTAACGATACTGCGACAAATTAATAGTCTGACTATTATTATTATGATATAAACGATAATAACACTCAATATAACTCATAATAATAGCCCAAATAATTATTTTAAGGACCTAATAACATTCCTATAACTATTTGAAAACTATATTAAAAATTGCGTAAGCGTAGCTCACTTACACTGAATTTTAAAGAAAACTGGGCTTTATTTGGAGCAACTTTTCGAAACTAAAAGACCCTTTTTCTCGGACTCCGAGAGCTTCGGGGCTTCCTTAGGGTGCTAGGGGTTTTTCCTAGGGTTTAGGGGAGTTAAAATCCCTAGAGAGAGAAAGATTTAAGAGAGATAATGAGAAATGGTGTGAAAAATCCGGAGACTCTCGCATCTATTAATAGCATCAGCAGCCTCGGTTATGCTGGGCGTAGTCCTCGGCTACGCAGGGCATAGTCATCGGATATGGATGCCAGCTCGCAGCCAGCTGTCTCGCACATTGGTCGGATAGGAAGCGAAGGTATGCTAGGCTTACTAATCTCGGACGTAGGGAGTAATGCGAGGCTATGTGTCATCATCTGAAGCGAGCACCGTGGTCAGCAAGCGACGGCTGAGATTTGGCCACGTCACCACTCTCCTACAGATTTCGCAATTTCCACTCCCAACTTCTAAAAATCATAACTTTTGCATACGAGTTCTGTTTTTGACGTTCTTTATATCCACACTTAGGTGGGAACGTACTCTACAACTTTTGTTTAGAATCCATCGGCTAATTTTTGCTCTATTTTAAAAGTTATATTATTAACAGGCAGGGACATGATTGGTCCGTTAAATTCTCATAACTTCTTCATCCGATGTCTGTTTTTGCCCATCTTTTTCTCGTTATGCTACTCTTAACGAGATCTTCGATTCTCGTTCATGTCGTGTTGGCTAAAAACCGTTCGATCTAACATTCGAATTTCGGGTTATACACTGCTAATCCGAAACTTCGAAAAATCATAACTTCGTCATACGAAGTCAGATTTGGGCATTCTTTTTATCGACGTTCTTAGTTTAACATATTCTATGACTTTTGTTTAGATTTCTAAGGCTAAATCTTGCTGTATCGTAAATTCACTATTTACGCTTCCCGACATCGTGCCGGTTCCGTCGCGAAACTTCAACGGGTCATAACTTCTTCGTTATAACTCGGATTTCGGCATTCTTTATATGTACGGAAACCTTGTGACATATTCTACAACTTGGTTAAGATTATTTATTCTAAATAATATTTTGTTGAAAATTCTTTTTCGACCCCTATTGCCTCTAAATTGACTAGCCCGGATCTACGGGCGTTATAATTATCTCCCCCTTAGGATGATTACGTCCCGGAATCATCAACGAAACAGGGCTTGTATAATGACTCCATACATCATCTCTTCATCCTAGGTAATAATTATGACTCCATACTCGATCATGCACCTGCTCTCTACCTCAGGTTAGACTCCAAATTATGACCTATCATCATGTGATGCACGTTTAGACTCAGGTCTCTTAGAGTTAAATTCTAAAACAGACTATGCCTTCCTTCATGTTCTAGCTACCAATGAGCGCAATACTTCTATTAATTGCTTTGATTTTAATTGTTTGGTTTAAGTCGGATGCTACATCAAACTTGGTTCTCTGAACCACGTAACCTACTCATCATGGTCGGACTAAATGTGATATGACCACTAGGTTCGGGATAACAATAATTTTCTTAGTCATTACCGAAACAATGGTAACAACATGCTTGAATAAAACGAAATCAATTACTAGTTTCTTGGTAACCTTGTGACCTTCCCTAATCCAAGTGTGAGTCTTGTGCTTCCAGTATTATACGCCTCTACTACCTTTCATACCTACTCATACTCGTCCCAAGTATTGTCCCACAGTTTTCCAAGTCACCATACATGAAATTCACCTAAGAACTTAACACATCAAATCTCAAAACGAAGGTTTTTATATTAGGGCTAATGTCACTGTAGCACATGGAACTTTTAACATTTGGCTAATTTGGTCCTTAAAGTTTTTTTTGGTACATTAGACCATTAAACTCGTAATTGCCCTTTTAATTACACCATTTTAGAAGGTTTCCCGGTTGCAATGCTTATGTGGCACGCTGATGTGTCCAATAAGCTTACGTGGTCCAGTTGTCGATACAGGCTTATTAATTGAAACCCTCATTCAGCCCTCCTTTCAATCTTTACTTACCCTTCTCTGAAAAGTCAAAGACTTCTCCCTCCCCGACTATTTCCATCCTGAAGAAGAATGTCTTCGAGCT